TGTGTGTGTGTGTGTGTGTGTGTGTGTGTGTGTGTGTGTGTGTGTGTGTTTCTCCCGCCCCTACCCTCTTTGGTCCTTCTCCCTCACCTCCACTTTCTTGCGGCCCAAGCAGGGGCACTCAGAAGGCTCTGGCAGGTCCTCTGGCCTTCAAGGCCAGCTCTCCTCTTGCCTCTTCCAAGAAACTCTGAGTCCTTCCAGCAAGTGTCTGCATTTCATGTATAGGAGGCTGAATGGGGGCCCCCAGAAGATATGTCCACATCAAATCCCTAGAACCTGTGAATGTGACCTTATTTGGAGAAAGCGTCTTTGCAGGTGTAATCAAGTTAAGGACCTTGAAATAAGATCATCTTGGATTATGCAGGTGGGCCTTAAACCCAGTGGCAAGTGTCCTTTTAAGAGAGGGGCAGAAGATCTGAGACATGAAGAAGAGACAATGGGACCACTGAGGCAGAGATTACAGTGATTTGTCCACACAGTCACAAGTAAAGGAATGCCGAGAGTTTCTAGAAGCTACAAGAGGCAAGGAAGGACTGTCCCCTAGAGCTTCTGGCAACACCTTGATTTTGGACTTCTGGCCCCCAGAACTGTGAGCAACTAAGGCTCTGTTGTTTTAAGCTGCTCAGTTTGTGGTACTTTGTTACAGGGGGTCTGGGAAATGAACCCACTAAGGAGTGGAGCAGGAAGCATGAGCCTTCAGAGTGGCTCTAGCCAGCAAGAACTGCATATTATCAGGGAGGCTAGTTGGCCTCATCTACAAAATGGAAACAATAATGCCTATCTTCCTGAGTCGGTTTTTGTTTTGCTTTTGCAGCTTTATTGGGATGTAATTCACATAGTGTGTAATTCACCCATTTATTTTATTTTTTTTGAAGATTTTACTTTTTCATTTGAGACAGGGAGCTACAGAGAGACAGAGAGCATGAGCAGGGGGAGAGGCAGAGAGAGAGGGAGAAGCAGGCTCCCCGCTGAGCCAGGAGCCAGGCGTGGGGCTTAATCCCAGGACCCTGGGATCATGACCTGAGCCAAAGGCAGACGCCCAACCATCTGAGCCACCCAGGCGCCCCCACCCATTTATTTCTTTTTAAAAAATATTTATTTATTTTTAGAAAGACAGAGTGGGGGAGGGGCAGAGGGAGAGGGAAAGAATCTCAAGCAGACTCCTTGCTGAGCGTGGAGCCCAATACAGGGCTCGATTCCAGGACCCTGAGATCATGACCTGAGCTGAAATCAGGAATTGGATGCTTAACTGACTGAGCCACCAGGGTGTCCCGCAATTCACTCATTTAAAATGCACCGTTCAGTGGTCTTTTCAGTATATTCACACAGTTGTACAACCATCCCATTAGCTAAAGAACATTTTTGACATCCCCCCAAAAGAAGCCCCACCTCTGTGATCATTTGCTCCCCAGTTTTTTCCACAACTCTCTCCCAATCCTAACCACTAATCTACTTTATCTGTAAAGATCTACCTATTCTGCACATTCCATATAAATGGAATCATACCATCTATGACCCATCATGTCTGGCTTCTTTCCCTGATTGTCATGTTTTCAAGTTCCATTCGTGTTGTAGCCTGTGTCAGGACTTTATTCTTTTTATGGCTGAATGGTATTCCATTGTATGTTTATTCATTCATTTATTGATAGATATTTGAGTTGTGTCCATATTTTGGCTATTATGAATTATGTGTCTATGAAATTTCATACACAAGTTTTTGTGTGGACATGTCTAGGGTGTTTGGAAGATTGAATGAAGTGATATCTAAGGTATCTGATATGCCCTTCACCAAATGAGGAATCTTAGAATCTGCCCCGACTCCTTCAGTTGACAGGTTAGGAAACAGGCGCGGAGAGGAGCAGAGACTTGCTCGAGGTCACCCAAGGCCGTAGGTAGAGCATAGGACCTAACTGCATATCCTTGCGTCAGAATGCCCAGAACCAGATCCGGGTTCCACTTGGACTTGGGTCACCTATGTAAGTCACCTCACGTCTCTGATCCTCAGGGTCTTCATGTGGAAAGTGAGGATATTAAGAGTATTTACCTCATATGATTGTTGATTTGAGAATGGAATGTGCTAGCCCATGTGTCTGGCACAAGGTAGGTGCTCTACAAATCTCAACTGTTATCACTCATGGCAGCACTAGATGTGGACCTCAAGTCTCCTGGATCCCAGGGGTAAGGTGTCTTGAATCTACACTTCCCCACTTCCCTTCCCTGTATGGTGGGCATCTTCTCAGAGCGATTATAAGTTCCTTGGAGGAAGGAGATATGACTTGCTCTCTCCACTGCCCAGAGCGTATAAGAGGTGCTGAATGAGTACTTCTGCTCACTTTCTTTGACTCTCCCAAACCCTGGCCTTCACCAGGTGACCCAGCTAGGAGCTATGGTAGGTGTTAATTCTCTACATCTTTCCAATGCTCCCTGCGCTGACTAAATGTGTCTTCCTTCCAGGCAGCGGACAGTGTGCCGCCATGGAGTTGGGGTCTCTAGAAGGCGGGTACCTGGAGCTTCTCAACAGCAGTGCCGATCCCTTGCAGCTCTACCACCTCTATGACCAGACGGACCTGGCTAGAGAAGAGATTGAGCTCTGCTCAGGTGGGCTCTCCTCCCTCTGGCCCCTCCCAAGTCCTTCCTCATCCCCCTCAGCCTGCGGTGGAGACAGTCAGCAACTGGGCAACGTTCCTGCCGCAGAGCTCTGGTCAGCACCGCGGACAGCTCCAGACGCTTGCGTGTTGTTTGCTATCCAAAGGGGAGTTCTCCCAGCCCCGCCCCGCCTCTCCTTCCTTCCCCACCAGCCCTCTTCCCAAACCTTTCCTGCTTCATCCATGGGGCTTTTCCCTCCAGAACCCGACATGGACACCATCAACTGCGAACAGTTCAGCAAACTGTTGTGTGACATGGAAGGTGATGAAGAGACCAGGGAGGCTTATGCCAATATCGGTGAGGAAGCATTCTGAACCCAGAAAAGGGCCAGTTGAGGGGAAGAGTTCCTTTTTCTCTTTTGGTAACGTCACCCATTCACCACAAGCCACAGCAGGCTCCTCCCTCATAAATTAGGGCAAGGGGGATGCAAAGCAAGGGCTAGAAAAGAGACTCCAGGGAAGAAGGGAGATTGACCCCTTGGCCAATGACCACCAGGCAAACAAAGTCTCACTTTTGTATCCTCTGCCTCCAGTTCTATACCTTTTTATATTTCTTGCTCTTCTTTCCTTCCTTCCACACAGCCCATACCATATACCCCTCCCTGTCTTCTCCCTAGCTCCTAAGCCAGACTACTCTAGTATTTGTAATATCTACGATTTGGGCACACTTGGTGCATGCACATCACTGTATGTGTGTTATTGCATTAAATCCTTACAACAACAAAGGAAGTAGATTCTATTAGTATCTCCGTTTTATGGAGGTGAAAATCGAGGCTTAGAGAGGTAAAGCAGTGTACCCAAGCCTGCATTAGAGATAGTAATGGGCAGCTCTGAGATTCAAAGCTAGGTCTTTCTCATTTCAAAGTCCTTATTTTTAACCACGAAAAGGAAAGAGTCTAGGGTGGAGAGGTTCTCTAAGGCTTAAGCTGAGAGGCTGATTTGCAGGTTTAAAAAGGGCTACTACTTTCAGATAAGGGCAGAACTCTTTGGAGAGATGTGTTGCTGTTGGTTTTTGTTTTTGTTTTTTGGAGGAGAGTGGGGTAAAGGCTCCCTCCTCACCACTATTTCATACAGAGGCTCTGTTGAATTAGAAAAAGATGCCCTTTTCTGGAGGATGCAGCCCCCATTTGTCCTCTTGCTGGACACCCTTGTGCAGTGAACAACCTGTACAACCGTTCTTTGTGGCCTTTTTCCTGGCAACCCAAGAACCACATCACTCAGGAGGTCTGTGCTTAGCGTGAATGTGGCCAGTCTTTCCCCAGTGCACAGTTAATCATGCAGCACACAAAGTGGAAAATGGAGAGTAGTAACTATGTGTCTCAAAAATTACAGAACTGAGAAGTCTGCCCACTTCCTTTCCTTCTTGGGAACTTACTTGAGGAAGCAGAAGTGTTTGGTGCTGAGGGCATTCATATTCCTCACAGCTGGAGGCAGAGATGAAGGATTTGAGCATTACTTAGGATTTAAGGGCTTTTCGCTTGGGGGCATCTACACAGGAAGTGGAAGCTGCCAAAGCAAGGCGAGGCAGAAGCTTCATCCAAATCTGTTGCTCAAGTCTGTGGGCTTTCTCTGTGCTTCTAGAAAGTCAGGCTCTGGCCTGAGCATCCAGTCATTTGAGGCATCTTGAAATATGTCTAGAAAATGGCTTCCATATGTGCATAGTGGGTATAATAATCACACCTGCCTCATGGGATGGCTGAAGATTGGATGAGTTTCTGTGTGTAAAGTGTTTAGGAAAGGAATTTGCAAAGAGTAAGTTAGGCACCCCCCTCCACGACCACCATCACCATCATCAAGGTCATCATGGTCACTGCTCCCCTTTTATGGCTCTCCATTGCTGATAAAATCAACCCTACCTTTCTCCCAGCATGAAACTTTCCCACAGACACCTGTCTGAGTTTTTCAAACACTTTCCTCACTCTGTCCTCACTGCCGGAAGCCCTCCACTTCCCATCTCTCTGACTGTGACCATGTTTCAAGGCCTGGCTCCAGGATCCCTTCCCTCCGGAGCCCTCCCTGACAGATCTGTGCCACCATACACTCTTTCCTCTGAACTCTTGCCATGATAGCTGTCTTCCCCTGGGCTCCAAGTCATGTACCACTTTATTTAATTAACCACTATTTATTAAGTGCTTTTGGTGTCCTGGCTACTATTTTTTTTTAAAGATTTTATTTATTTATTCATGAGAGACAGGGAGAGAGAGAGAGAGAGAGAAGCAGAGGGAGAAGCAGGCTCCCAAGGAGCAGGGAGCCCGATGCGGGACTCGATCCCAGGACCCCGGGATCATGACCTGAGCCGAAGGCAGACGCTTAACCATCTGAGCCACCCAGGCGCCCCTGGCTACTATTTTTGATGCCTTAACTTAGAGGTGGAGCCTCTAATCCTCACCATCCATCCCTGGGTTGCAGGCATTTTTTGTTCTCATTACACAGATGAGGACGTGGAGTCCCAGAGAGGTTAAGCAGTTGGTCCAAGTTTGCACAGCTAGTAGGGTTAATTGGGGGTTGAGCTGGGATTTAAACTTAAAGCCCATGACAACTCTACCACACTGCATTGTACTACTTGATAGCAATAGTTAAGTTTTCATGGATGCATATCATCCCTTCAATTAGATTAAGAGCCCATGAAGGTTCAGGGTTCCTTCATTAATTTGATCATTCATTCAGCAAATGCTGATTGAGCACCCCCGTGTGTGCCAAGGCTGGAGGGTCACAGTTCCCTGGTACCTACCCCAAGGCCAGGCACACAAGAGGTGTTCAGAAAACTCATGGACTGACTGTTCTTTTCCTTGTCTGGGCAGCGGAACTGGACCAGTACGTGTTTCAGGACTCCCAACTGGACGGTCTGGGCAAAGACATTTTCAGTAAGTTGGGGGATTCTTGGCTCAGCCTGCGTTTCCTTCCTTGTTCCTTGGGGAGCATCATAATACCTGATGACCACCCTTTGAAGGGCGGTCAGATCCCTCCCCAACATAGGGACAATGAAGGCTCACTTTGGGCATCCACTGACTACATGTTGGTGTCTTTTTTTTTTTCCCCCCCAAAGTCGAGCACATAGGATTGGAAGAAATGATCAGCGAGAGTGTCGAGGTGCTGGAGGAAGCAGGGCAGAAAAGTCAGAAAAGACGTGAGTAAGCCCCTCTCTGATCTGACCTCAGCCTGCTTGACTCCTGGCCCTGCCTTGGCTCCAGAGACTGCTATGGCTCCCTTGTTAAGTCCTGTCTGCTCTGCCTGGGTTTGGATGTTCTATCCCCCACTCCCCTCACTGCTGCTCCCTGGTGACCCAGGGAAGAAGCAGACAGCCCAGGTGCTAACGGCCATTCTCCTGGTGTGTCTCTGCCCCTGGCTGTCTTGATTGCCATTTCCCGAAGGCCATTTGGGCTCTGGCTTCTCTTTCATCCTTAGTTGTCACCTCTGTGTTTGAGGGAGGTGTCTTTAACCATAGGTTCTGGAGTCAGCAAGAACGGGGTTTGAGTCCTGGGTCTGCTCTCGATGGGCTGTGTGGCCTTGATGAGCAAGTGCTTGTCCCTCTCTGAGCCTCCTACTCCGTCTCCCTTTCTCCTTAATCTGTCTTTACTGGCAGTCCCCATAAGCTTTTAAATGCAAATCATATCATTCTGCTGTCCTGCTAATGCTCCAAGGGCTACAAAATACACACGCAAGGCCTTTATGAACTGGTCCTTCCCACCTTTCCAAGCTTGCCCTGGGCTAGGACACTCCAGCCACCCTGGCTTCCTACCATTCCTAGAACTCACATACCCTTCCCAGCCTCCAGTCTCAGGGTTCTTGCACCTGCAGTTCTATCTGGAATGCCCTTTTCCCAGTTCTTCGCATTGCAGGCTCCTTTGAATCCCTGAGGACTTGGCTAACATGTCACCTCGTCCTGAAGGCCTTCCCTGACCACCCTTCCACATGGATCACCTCGCTGGTTTTCACCTTGTCTGTGTCTCTCCTAGCCCCTTAGTGCTTGCCACCATCTGGACTTTTTTTTTTTTTTAATTGCCTTTTGACTATTTCCCCACTGTGAGGACAGCGATCTTGTCTTCCTTACTCATTAACTAAGTTCTAACACAGGGCCTGCTGTAGAGCCTCAATAAATGTCCAGTGAATGAACACATCTGTAAAATGAGCTCAACAGTCGAGTGAGAGCTTCCTATGCTCCAGACCATGTGTCAGACTTGTACCTACTTCTTCATTTGTCAACAGGTGAAGCAGGTGCATGCTATAAAAGTTCAAAAGGTGCAAGGATATTCAGTGAACACAAAAAAAAATCTCCCTTCCACCCCTGTCTCCCAGACCCTAAGTTTCCCTCCCTGAAAACAGCCCATGTTGCCGGTTCCCTCCAGGGAATTCCTCTTGCTGGTCTGCTTTTTTTGTTTGTTTGTTTTATTTGATAAATATTTTCCCCAGCATTTTACTACGAAACTTTTCAACATAGAATAAAGGTGAAAGAATCGTACTGCAAACAACCATGTAGCACAAACAGTCTCCAGTTGATGTTTGGCTGTATTTGCCTTAACACATCTCCCTCCATCTGTCCATCCCTCTCTCCACCCACTTATCCATTTGTTTTATTTTGGGAACATTTCAAAGTAAATTGCAGATACCAGTACACTTCCCCGTACGTCCGTTAACATTCTTGTTCTTCTTTAGGGCTGTGTGGAAATTCACTGGGTGGGTGAACTGTGATTTGTTTCGCCAGACCCTTGCTCAGGGACACATAGGGTTTCCCTCCATCGCTGTGCTGGCACTTGGTCCCTAGCTCACCAATTTTCCATGTACTCCTACAAAGTAGGAAGCCCCACCTCTGTTTCACAGATGAGCGATCAAAGGCTCAGAAAGGCTCTGTTGCAAAGACACAAGGCTAGGGAGGGACCCTAAGCAGGTTGTTGTTGTTTTCATTTTTGTTTTTCTAAACTCAAACTCGTCTTGTGTCCCATTTGCACTTCAGCCTCCTCCAGTCCCTCGCTGCCCTGGGTCTTCAAGGTGGGGTTTGGGCACAAGCAGACAAGCAGGGCAGGAAGGGTCAGAGGAAGGGGGGGGGGACTGGGAGCTGCAAGGCCACTTTCCAGCCATTTAAGGCAAGGCCATGTGGGCTGCTGGGGTTCATGGGCCCCTCGTGGCTGGGACCACACCTTCCTTGGGGTGGCTGACCATGATATTTCCTCTGCAGCCTTCCCAGAGGAGCTGTCCGTGGACTTGAAGCACAGGAAGCTGGGTGAGCAGGGCGGGGTGCACCCGGGGAGACTGTGAGGCAGGGAAGCCAGGGCTCAGAGAGGTGAAGTCACTTGTCCAAGATCACACAGCTAGTGAGAGGCAGAGTTGGGATTCAAACCAAGATCACGGTTCCATAGGCCCCTGCTCTGCAGTTTGAAGGCCGCTGGGAGATTCAAGTTCTCCTACAAAGCCTCTCCCCCAACACCCCTTCTTAATTCTGAGTCAGAGCTGAGACCCCACCTCCCGCCTTACTCCACTGCCCCTCCAGACCACACTTCTCCTTTTGGAGTACAGAGTCACCTAGGGTCAGCTGGTCACCCAATGCCCTCTGGCCTCCCGAGAGCCCCATGCCTCAGCGAGCCTCTTCCCCAGGCTCACCGTTTCCGCCCACCAGAGGCTGCCGCTTCTCCCTCCACCTACCCTCTCATCCCACCCTGTTGTTATTGCAAAGTGGGGGAGACCAGCCCCTGAGCGGCACAGAGTGAGGAAGACAAAGCAGCTTCACCCAGGGCTGAGAAGAGGACGGGAGCTCCCTCCCACCGCCCGGAGAGAGATCTACTGTGCTTCTGCCATCCTCCCCAGAAGGGCCCCGCGAGGCGCCCACTCAGATCCCGCCCGTGGTCCCCTGGATCTAACATGGTCGTCTTGCTCACAGCTGAGCCCCTCGCTATGCCCATGGTGACTGGCACGTTCCTGGTCGGGTCAGTGAGTGACTCCGCAGCTCTGCCCTGCTTGTCACCACCTGCTGTGTTCAACAAGGAGCCAGCATCCGGCCAGAGCTGGCTGGAGGAGACCGTCCTGATGCCTGGTACGTTAGGGACTTGGAGGGGGTAGGCTTCCTACCCCCTTCCCTGGGGGTGCCTGAAGAGTGGCCACGGTAGGGCCCACCGGGGACAGGAACCCCCCCTTGGAGTCACCCCCTTCCATCCCAGCTAGTCCCATCCTCAAGGTCCCTGTCAGCTCAGCCTGTGCCAGAGAATGTGCCTTGGAAAGAAACATCCCTGGGAGATAGAGCAGGGAGTCCCCACCTATTAGGGCATTTGCTCATCAGCCCTCTTCATTCATCAGCTAGGCACTGAGCACCTTGTCTGTGCCCGCCACTCTGCCGGGTGCTGGGGACACCACCATGGGCAAGACAGATGCAGCTGCTGCTCTGGGGGACAGAGGAGCCTGCCCTTTAGAAAGGGAGTCAGATCTTAATCGAATAGTCAGAGAACAGGATTACGAACATTGGTGCTCTGGAGGATCCCACCTCACTGCCTTTGTCTCCCCAGTGCACCCTTCCAGTTCCTTGCTGAGCCACCTGAGTCTTCCTGCTGGATGTATCCAGATCATCCCTGGCCTCCCCTCTCTGCCCCAGGGGCTCTGGCAAATCTCAGGGCCTGGGACGGGGGTGTCTGGTATGGTCATCTATCAAGGTGAGTGTTCAAAGCCTGCCCCCCATCCCCTCTCGCAGCTACCTGACTACTCCCTGACCCTGTCCTCCCCCAACCCCAGGCATTTGGCACCTTCTCATGATCCTCCCTCCCCGGAACACCTTTCTCCAACCCCCTTTCCCAAATATCAAAGCATAAGGGCAGAGCTCCCCAGGGTGGTCGGGGTGAGTGACCCACCCACCCAGGGGCTGTAGCTTCCTATGTATCACTTTACCCCACCAAGCCTTAGTTTTGCCTTTTTTCCTTTGTATTAAACTTTACTATATTTAAAAATCACATCGATACATGCTCATCCACAAGCCAAACAAAATGAGATGCTTACAAGAGTTAACGAGGCTCTTCTGCACTCTCTTAGTATAGAGTGGTGAACCGTTTGGTGTGCATCCTTGCGTGGCTTTTTTGGAATTGCCTTATTTCCTGATTGGCAGGATGGTCCCTGCTGACCTCCCACACTGAGGAGTTGTGAATTGCCCAGGGCAAGCCTCCTTTGGGCTCTCAGGGATGGGAGAGAGGATGAAGTCAGGTGGGGAGACTTCCACCCAATCCAAGAGCATCCTTTTAAATGTTGTATGCCAGTTTTTCATATAATGCGCTGGTGGTCCAGAAGGAAGGGAGCATCCCTGACCTGACATCCAGACAAATGAGCACTGATCGTATAGCCGGAAGAATGTTATAGTAGCACTTACCCTAAGCTCCCTGTGAGCTGACTGTGCCCATTTCACAGGTGGGGAAACCAAGTCTCAGTGAGCTAGGGGTAACTCCAGAGTTCTTTCCTCAGTCCTGTCCTGAAATGTCTTCCTCTGGAAGTTCCCCAGTTTCCTCCCCAGACTTTCCAAGCCACACAGCCTCCTTTGGGGCAGAGAGAGGGTGACCCAAGTGGGGTCCTGGGTGGATAACTGGTTGTTCTAACCCTTCCCATTGTCCCAATGTAGGCGAGATGCCCCAGGCCAGCCAAGTGCTTCCTTCTAGTGGCCCAGCTGTGCAGAGCCTCCCCAAGTCCCCAGATCGGCCCGGCTCCACCAGCCCCTTTGCCCCGTCTGCAGCTGACCTTCCTGGAATGCCAGAACCAGCTTTGACCTCCCGTGCAAATAGGACAGGTAAGGACCCTTGGGGGCTGGTGAAAGTTACAGGAAGGGGGACGGAGGCCCTGGGGGAAGAATTGTCTCAATCAGGTCCACGAACCAGGCTACCCACAGGGACAGGCAGGCTGCGTTTAAGGGTAAAACAAGGCAGGGGGGGTCTCCGGGGAGTGGAAGGCATAAGAGAACACATGTTCCACCTAAACCGGACCACTGGCCTTCAGCTACTTGCCACCCAGCACGAAACCAGACCCAGTGTGCACAGATCTTCTGATTTGTCAGCAGAATCTATAAATCTCAGTTTTTCCATAGTGTGATTTTTTAAAGCATTGGCGGAAATTTTTAAAGCATAGTGGCCCAGTTAGGGGCGCCTGGGTGGCTCAGTCGTTAAGCATCTCCCTTCAGCTCAGGTCGTGATCCCGGGGTCCTGGGATCGAGCCCCGCATCGGGCTCCCTGCTTAGCGGGAAGCCTGCTTCTCCCTCTCCCACTCCCCCTGCTTGTGTTCCCTCTCTCGCTGTGTCTCTCTCTGTCTAATAAATAAATAAATCTTTAAACAAATAATAAAGCACAGCTTGTCCAGTTAAAGGCCTCTTTGAGTAGGATACAGCCTCAGGTCACCACCTTATGACTGTTGTCTCAGGGGAGACCCAGCCCCCCCCCCGTTGGTTCTGCCTTTGGGAGCCTCAGAGGACTGAATGTCCCCGAGGCAGGAAGGTCCCCAGGCAGTCCCCTCACCCGAACTTCTTCATCTCCAGAGGACCAGATGTCCCCTACCCAAAGCCAGGCAGCTCACGAGATCTCCAGCAAGCCTCCAAAATGGCCTGGTGAGTGGTGGCAGACTCTCTGTGCCCTGGGGCAGGAGGTGGAAGCCCAGGTCTGGTTCTATTTCACTCACTCACTCACTCACTCAACACGTACTCAACCCTTCTCTGTTGGCAGTCTTGCTCAGTCATCTGTTCACTTGCTCACTTTATTCTATGAGCAAGTCACTGTGCTGAGGTCCTGCCCTCATAAGCCCATGCCAGGTGTTGGCACCTTGTTTTCCAGGCCAAGGGAATGAATGAGGGGAGAGATGGATGAAGGAGGGGGCTGACTCTGGGCACGGGGGCAATGGGAGGTGGGATGATGAGAAGATGACCGAGCTCCTAAGTCTTACTCCGTTCCGCACGCTCTTCTAAGCAGATATGTTAAATCATGCCTGTCGCAAACAGCCCTAATGTTATCCCCCTTTTGCAGATGAGGGATTCCTGGGGCATCCCTGCAGACGTAGCAGAGTCTATAACATGCTCGAGATTACAGTAATTAGCGGTGGAGCTGGGATTTGAACCAGATACATGGATTCCACTCTCTTAACCCTTAACACTGCCCCCCCCACCCCACGGCCTTTCTATAGTAAGGGAGCAAAAGCAGAAGGGGGTTAGTGAGTAAATGAAGGGGCGGATAGATAAACAAGGGAGAAGATAGGTGGATGACGGGTGTGAGAGTGAATGAGTGAATGAATGAATGTCTGCGTAACTGAGCAAGGCAGTGGGCGGGCACTGACTGGCGCAGCTGGTGGTCCGGCTGGCCTCGTGGTGGCGCTCGCGCCCTCCCCGCCCAGCGCGCGCGCGCGCGCGCACCCACCCACCCCTCTGGGCCTTTGCAGAGAGCGTGGAGCGGTTGTACAGCTCCCTACGGGACGAGTACCTGGCTGAGTTCGCAGGCCCGGAAGACATCCTGGTGGAGGTGGAGCTGGTGAAGGCGCGGCTGGAGAGAAGCAGTGGCAAAAGCCAGGAGAGGGAGCTGGCCACCCCGGACTGGGCAGAGAGGCAGTTGGCCCGCGGGGGTCTGGCCAAGGTGCTGGCGGCTGCGGGGGACCGGCGGCGGCCACGGGAGACACAGGTGATCGCCGTGCTGGGCAAAGCAGGACAGGGGAAGAGCCGTTGGGCCCGGGAAGTGAGCCGGGCCTGGGCCTGCGGCCAGTTGCCCCAGTACGACTTCGTCTTCTACCTCCCCTGCCACTGTTTGGACCGCGCCAAAGGGGACACTTACCGCCTGCAGGATCTGCTCTTCTGCCTGGGCCCCCAGCCACGGCCCATGGACGAGGAGGTCTTCGACCACATCTTGAGGCGGCCCGACCGGGTTCTGCTCATCCTGGACGCCTTCGAGGGGCTCGAAGGCCAAGATGGCCTCCTGCACAGCGCGGGCGGACCCATGTCCACAGAACCCCACTCCCTCCGGGGGCTGCTGGCCAGACTCTTCCAGCGGAAGCTGCTTCGAGGTTGCACCCTGCTGCTCACGGCCCGGCCCTGGGGCCGCCTGGCCCAGAGCCTGAGCAAGGCCGACGTCCTGTTCGAGGTGGCCGGCTTCTCAGCCGAGCAGGCCGAAACCTACGTGACGCGCTACTTGGAGTGCACTGGGGCCACCGCGCACCGGGAGCGAGTCCTGGCCCTCCTCCGGGGCCAGCCGTTCCTGCTCAGCCTCAGCCACAGCCCCACCGTGTGCCGGGCCGTGTGCCGGCTCACTGAGGCCCTCCTAGAGCTGGGTGACAAGGCTGAGCTGCCCTCCACGCTCACGGGACTCTACGTGGGCCTGCTGGGCCCCGCGGCCCGGGACAGCCCCCCGGAGGCCCTGGCAGGACTGGCCAAGCTGGCCTGGGAGCTGGGCCGCAAACACCAGGGCACCCTGCAGGGCAGCCAGTTCCCATCGGCCACCGTGAGGGCCTGGGCCGTGGCCAAAGGCCTGGTGCAGCCCGTCCCGGGCGCCCCCGATGTGGAGCTGGCCTTCTCCAGCTTCCTCCTGCAGTGCTTCCTGGGGGCCGTGTGGCTGGCCCTGAGCACTGAAATCAGGGACAAGGAGCTGCCACAGTACTTGGCATTGACCCCGAGGAAGAAGAGGCCCTATGACAACTGGCTGGAGGGCGTGCCGCGCTTCCTGGCTGGCCTGCTTTTCCAGCCTCACGCCGACTGCCTCGGAGCCCTGGCAGGGCCAGCCGCGGCCGCCGTTGGGGCCAGGAAGCAGAAGGTGCTCAGCAGGTACCTGAAGCGCCTGCAGCCAGGGACGCTCCGGGCCGGGCGGCTGCTGGAGCTGCTGCACTGTGCGCACGAGGCCGCGGACGCCGCCATCTGGCAGCACGTGGTGCAGGGGCTTCCAGCCCGCCTCTCCTTCCTGGGCACCCGGCTCACACCCCCCAACACCTACGTGCTGTGCAGCGCCTTGGCGGCGGCTGGCCAAGACTTCTCCCTGGACCTCCGCAGCACTGGCATTGACCCCGCTGGGCTGGGGAGCCTCGTGGGACTCAGCTGCGTCACCCATTTCAGGTGGGGGCAGGGGACAGGGCAGAGGGCTTCCACCATGGTCTTGGCGCTGTGCCCGGTGCTGAGCATCGCGGTGGGGTCTCATTTAGTATGCACTGCGGCCAGGCGGGGGCGGAAGTGATTCCTTCCTTTTTAAAATGAGGACGTCCAGGCTCAGAGAGGGATAGCGGCTTGCCCAAGGTCACACAGCCAGTGAAGGGCAGCATCTTCAACCAATATTTGTGGGGTTTTTTAAATTAAATTAATTTTTTTTCTATTTTAGAGAGGTGGGGGAGGAGGGGTAGAGGGGGAGGGAGAGGGAAAGAATCTCAAGTAGACTCCACGCTGAGCAGAGCCAGATATGGGGCTCGATCTCATGACCCTGAGATCATGACCTGAGCCCAAACCAAGAGTCCAGCGCTTAACCGACCGAGCCACCTACGTGCTCCTTCAACTAATATTTGAAGGCCTGACAGGTGCGAGGCACTGGGCCACATTTAGGATCTAAGATTGATGTGGGCTCAAATTCATATTCTTCTCTCCATCCCCTAATCAAGCCACTGTTTTGTCATGGTTAAAAGCCACAGCCTCCCCTCGAGCTCCCCACCTCCCTTCTCCCTTTTCCATTCTACTTCATAGTCAGCCGTCAGAGCAGTCTTCCTAGAACTTGCATCTGATCATATTCTACCCCTTTGATTCCTCAACTTGGCTCATTTAAATCCTTCTGTGATCTGTTTGATCACTTTAGCCTAATCTGCAGAAAATTTCTCCCACCTTCCCCCCAAATAAACTTTACCCAAGCTATAAAGTCCTATACCATTGTAGTAGTTCAACCAAGAATTTACCACTGAGCTTCCTGGTAGCCAAAGCAAAAAGGGAAATAAAACCACTGGGGGGGCTGAGAAAAGGGAGGGATCATTAGGAACTGGAGTGGTCATGGAAGGCCTCCTGGAGGAGGTAGGGATAAAGCTGAGGACAGAAAGCGTCTGACTAGGTAGGAGGTTCCTTCATGGAGCTGCCCCTCCATTATGGTCTAGCCCGGCTCTTGTGCCTGGGTCTGAGGCCCTTCCTCCGCAGGGCTTCGCTGAGTGACATGGCGGGGCTGTGGGAGTCTCTACAGCAGCGTGGGGAGACCAAGCTGCTCCGGGCAGTGGAGGAGAAGTTCACCATCGAGCCTTTCAAGGCCAAGTCCCCAAAGGATGTGGAAGACCTCGGCAACCTCGTGCAGATCCAGAGGTGAGGAGGAGAGGGTGTGAGAGGTGGCTCAGACCATGCAGGTTGAGGACAGGCAGGACCCATTGGTACTTCCCCTCTCCTTGGGGAGATCCTGTGTCCTCCCCCAGGCCACCCAGAATCTCCTGCAGCAGGCACCCCCTGGGGACAGAGCCTCCAGGACCCATCACCTCGTGCCCTTCAAAACTTGCCATCATGAACCCAATTTGTCCTCAGCTAGAGCCAGACAGAGACTCCCTGCTGAGGGTTGAGGAGGTAATTTCTGCATCTAGTAACAGAAGTGACACCGATGGCCGCCCTTCAGGGCAGGCAGGACGAGTACTGTCCCCACGTGATCAGTGGCAGAGCGCTAAGATCCAGAGGGCAGAGAAACTTGACTATAGAACAACTGTTTCTTATTCTGTCCTCACCCACTGTTTAAGCACCTACTCTGTGCTGTCTGGGCTGGGTTTGGTAAGCACCTGCTGTCCATGAAACCCATAAGAATGCCTTCATAACGTCCTGTTTTATTTCTTTTTAACGGGGGACGACAATAGCCTCCAAGGAAGGCAGGTCTCCCCGGCAATTTGAGGCAGGCATCCTGGATCACTCACGTAGGGGCTCAGGGACTGCTCCCCACCCACTAACACTGCCCCTTCTCTCGAGGACAAGGAATTCCTCGGAAGACACAGCTAGAGAGCTCCCTGCTGTCCGGGACCTAAAGAAGCTGGAGTTTGCGTAAGCAGAGGAGTGAATTGTCTCGGGTCCCCGTGAGGTTTCTTATCCGGCATTATTAGCTGGGCCTGAGCCACCGCGATTGGAGAGGGGTCCCCAAAATCATTCTTTTTTTAAAAGATTTTATTTATTTATTTGAGAGAGAGAGAGTGGGAGGAGGAGCAGAGGGAGAGAGACAAACAGACTCCGTGCTGAGCTTGGAGCCTGACGCGGGGCTCAATCCCAGGACCCTGCGATCATGACCTGAGCTGAAATCAGGAGTCAGTCGCTTAACCGACTGAGCCACCCAGGTGCCCGCCCCTCCCCCCCCCCCAATCATTCTTATCCTATTGCCTCGCCCCTTTGGAAACCAGCTTCCAGCATCTGGGGCCCAGCTGGTCAGGGATGGGGCTGGAGCTTCTCGGGTGTGATGCTAAGTGGCCCATTTAGTGGTGAACATGCTCCTTCCCATTCATTCATTGGACAGACACAATCCACTGACTGAGGCCACTGTCCTCAATGAGCCTGAAGTCTAGTGTAAACAGACAATTACCCCCTGCTGTGATCAGTGGCCCATGCAGTGGGGGAGGCCATGGGGACTCTCTAGAGAAGGTGACCAAAGGGCTGAAGCTTGCCTGGCTCTTGTTCCAAGAAAGGAAGAAGCTAAATTTGCGTGCAATCTTTGTTAGGGATCTAAAATTGCCTAATAATTAGGAAGAAATTATTAAACACCTACAGTGTATGCAGTGCAATTTATATATGATCTGGGAGGTAGTCACTACCTTCCCCATCTTACAGATGAGAACATCAAGGCCTAGCCAGGTTAAGTGACTCGCCCAAGGTCCCTAGCTGGTCACCCTCAGTTACCTGCCCCTCCTGATCTCTGCTCCCCCGCACCCCAGAAAAAGGCAAGCGTTTCTGGTTTGGAACAGTGACAAGGTGCCACATTTGTGCAGAAATAAAAGTGTTGCTGGAAAGAGGAAATGTGTGAAAACAATCACCAAGGGCGCCTTCTGGCTTTGACTTATTTTTAGCTTAAAAAGCCCCTAGATGGAGGTCGGAAGTGTGCTCTGGGGAACAATAGCATTGAGGTGGAATGGCCCAGAACCAGGAGACTAGCCACCTGGAGGCCAGAAGCCCCAAGAAAGTTCTGAGGAAGGAAGGAAGGAAAGGACTATTTTGGGTGTGTGACTGCCAGCCACCGCACCCGGTACCATGCAGGCCCCAGTGGCCTGGAGATGAGGCTTGTTGGCTGCTCAGAACCCGTGAGGCGCTCTGCGAGGGGACAGGGTCCTGATTCGGCCCCTGAGGAGGCCTCCTGCATCTCCCATACTGCCTTCCCCACTCCCTCCACTCCAGCCCCAGAGGTCTCCTTGCTGGACTCCAGCCTCATAGGCAGGGTCTGGCCCCAGGGCCTTTGCACTGCCTGCGCCTTCTGCCCATGATGCTCTTCCCCAGATTTCCGCACGGCCCACGCCACTATTTCCTCCCTTCTTTCTGGTTTCCATGGAGCCAAACGCTCCCATGTTTGAAAGTACAGTTCTACCTCACCTGCCACCGTGCTTCTCTCTGTATTACTGATTATCTCCCACACCAGATAATTTACCGATTTCTTTCATTACCTATCTTGCCCATGGGACTGTCAGCTCCACGAACGAGGGCCAGGATTTCTGTCTGTTCTGTTCATGGCCCTGTCCGCGACAGGCTCGCATGGGCGAGCAGTCAATACTGGATGCACAAACTCCATAATCCTTCCAACAGGCTCATGAAACAGGGGCCAAATCTGAGGAGACCAAGACGGAGCTGCAGGGGTTTGCCCACATGGCCCCACGGGAGCCACGTGGTAGGGCCCGGGTTTAAGTCAGACGTCAGACTCCCATCTCATGACCTTTTATCGAGGCTCGAGGTTCCCAGACTTTGAGATTGCAAAGACGCAGAATACTTTGGAGTAAATTTGAAGGATTATATGCAGTTACCATGTTTTCATGTTTATCAAGTGTATTCATTCCAACAAGCAAAATAGCCCCTGCTGGGACCAATTTTATCAGAGAATGAACATTTTTGTGCCAAAAACGCTCCAAAGGACACAATTTCAGAATAAAAGACAGTTCTTTATGTTGAGTTCCGTTTAACCATATTTTAAAAGCAGAACAAAAGAGCCCTGCACTGTCTTTATTTTTCTTCCCCTGGAAGTCGGGTGTAAATGCTGATCCAGCCTGTGAGACCTTGTGTAAATTAGTTAATCCCTCTGTGCCTCGGTTTCCCCATCTGTAAAACGGGGATACGAAGTGCCCTTAGCTCAGAGTTGTGAGGGTGAAATGACATCTGAGGGAAGGACCCGGCGTGTGCCTGGCACGTAATAAGTCCTCAATAAATGGTTTTATTTGTTATTAAAATGTAATGACAGGGTGGCTCAGTCAGTAAAGCATGAAACTGGCTGGCTCAGTCAGTAAAGCATGAAACTCTTGATCTCAGGGTTGTGAGTTCGAGCCCCATGTTGGGTATAGAGATTTTCTTATTTTTCTTATTTATTTTAATTAAGTAAAAAATTTAAAACTTTTTTTAATTAAAAAATAATTTAAAAATAAAAATGGAATGGCAGATAAGTCAAGTCATTTTTCTCAAGACTGGTGGTGGTCCTCAGGCTGGAATTTGGGAAACACTTCCCCAGGCCAGGAGCCCAGCTGCCTCTTGGGGGGCTTTGGTGAAGTCCGGCCAGAGCAGAAGGGATTGGGGTGCCACCTAGTGGGGATCAAGGGAAGGAGGGTACTGGCGGTCAGGGAGGGGAGGGGGCCTCAGACTGGGCCTGCCTTCTGTGACATGTCCACCCCACCCTGGTGCCACATTGAGGAGCCGTGACTCTTTAGGGGTCTTACCTCTGTTCTTTGCCTCCTAGGCTGGGCTCTGTCTTAGGCCCCCAGGCTTTTCCCAAACTGGTGAGGATCCTTGAGGCCTTTTCCTCCCTTCAGCATCTGGAGTAAGTATGGACGCGGGCACCCTCAGGTTTTGATAACCCCAAACCCTGCTCTGTCCTACCCTCCCTCCCTCGCTCCCTCTCTCCTGCGGCTTCCTCAGTGTGGCTGGTGGGAAGGACCAGAGGACCCCACTGCAGGGAAGGGAGGACAGATGAGACAATCCCCAGGAATAAAAAAGGTTGAGTCCTTTTGTGACCTCTGGAACTCTTTTCCCTCCCTGGACTCCCATGCTGTTCCCAGCACCGCCATGAGGAGGCAGGATCTGGGAGCAGGCGCCCCTTGCACAGTTGTGGTCCCAAGAGGGTTAAGGAAGTTGCCAGAGCTCACGGGGCTCCCAGGGAAAACAAACAAACAAAAAACCGATCCGTGTCTGTGGGGAGTCAGAACCTTGTTCCCTGGCTGGCCAACTGGTCAGCCGCCCCCGGGGGATGCAGATTTGCTCTGGAAAGTTTGCCTATGGTGTGTCCAAGGTGGGGGGGTGGGGGTGGGGGTGGGAGGAGGCGGGCCTCCTGGGTGTGGACTGATGGCCCCTCTGTCTGATTCCACCCACAGCCTGGACTCGCTGAGCGAGAACAAGATCGGGGACGAGGGTGTCGAGCAGTTGTCAGCCACCTTCCCTCGGCTGAGGGCCCTGGAGACTCTCAAGTGAGTGCTGCAGGTGTCCTTCCTGCTGCATTGGGTTTTTGTGTTTTTCTGTTCACTCACCCATTTAGTCGTTTCTTGATTGAATCACGCATGCAAATGCTCATTTGTTAATTTCATTGGCGAATACCGAAGGAGCACCTACTACGTGCAGGCACCATTCTGGGCCTTGCAGACCCAGCTTTAAACAGGACAGACAAAGCCCCTGACCTCAGTGAACTCCTAGTAAACAAGCAAACAAATCCGTGATTATGAAGCACACAGTGATGAACGTAAATAACATTTAGGGAGAGGAAGTTACGCTGGGCGGTGTGAAACAAGAGACGGACTAGATGTGTCACTAAAACATTATCATCAAAATAGTAAACTTTTATTTAAAAAAAAAAAAGGAGCGCCTGGGAGGCTCAGTCAGTTGAGCGTCCAACCCTTGATTTCAGCTCAGGTCTTGATCTCAGGGTTGCGAGTTCAAGCCTGGCGTTGGGCTCAAAAAACAACTGTCCTGGGTTTTGGGAAGTGGATGGATGTGATGTAGGATGATTGTTTACCGAACGGTAGAGGGGATCATCAAAATCTGTCCACACTCTGCTTCATAACTGGGCCCGGGATGGCAGCAGGGTTCACTTTGGGATTTCCTTGACTGTAGGACATTGAGACTTGCCCAGTAATTTATAGTATTCTAGGTGATGCTGTGGGTAAGCTACATCCTCCCCCCCCAACTCCTTTCTTTGTCCCTCCCTCTCCTACCTTTCCTTCCTGTCTTTTTCCCACCCACTTACGTATCGAGCACCTACTAGGTACTTGGAACTGATGTAGGCACAGGGATACAGTAATCAAAAAAACCAGACCTGCCATTAAACAAATAACATGAACACGTATTCAGTTCTAGTTGGGAAATGTGGTCCCAAGGGAAAAGGAGGATGCTATCAAATCACAGAACAGGGTGGGGGGGGGCGTGACCTCTCTCCCTTTCCATCCTCACCCCCACATCCCACACAGCCAAGGGTGGGACAGTATCTTTTTATTTACTAAGAATCAGCATGTTACCCACAGTGCTGCTCAGAGCCTGTTACCCACAACTCTCCTCGAGGTAAATAGACATGTGTTTGCTGCTCGGGCCACCCTGTGGGGAAATGAGAGTTCCCCAGCTCTGCCCCGGAGTGGGTGGGCACGGATGGGGAGGGGCATGAGAGTTTGGTCCTGAGCGCCGCCCCCCCCGTCGCTGTGTCCCTGCAGCTTGTCCCAGAATAGCATCACTGACGTGGGCGCCTGCAAGCTCGCCGAGGCCCTGCCCTCCCTGGCTGCGTCCCTCCTCAGGCTGAGGTGAGTGGGGCCCCCCCTCACCGAGCTGGCGGGCTGGGGCAGGGTGGAGAGCCGCACCACCGCCCCACACAAGAGGATAGCAAGGGCCTGGGGCAATGCACCTGACAAACTGGGCAAGTTGCTTACTCGTTTGGAAAATGGGTACCATCCCAGTGGCCTATGGAAAGCACTTGGCGCAATGCCTGGCTCTAGTGCACACTAAATATTGGTCTTCTTTCCCCAGAGGATGGCAGGACTGAGCCTTTTCCGGAGTCCAGGGGTGATGGTTTCTAGAAGGCTGACCGTGCTGTGGCGGCCTTGGCTGGCTCTTGCAGCTCACACAGTGCCTGCACTGCCACCTTCTGGCCGGCCTTGGCATAGCACCTTTTGCTTTTGAGGACTTCCAGCCTGGCTCCCTGGTGGTCCCAGGACTGATGAGGGGAGTTCAGACCAGAGCCCCAGCCCTTCAGCTCAGCCTTGCCAGCTCTCTTCTCTCGCCAGGCTTTCCTACTCCTTCCTCAGGCTTCATCGCCTGCCAAGGACAGCCAGAGCCACATTCCCAGGGGAGATGGTATCTGGTTCATCTAGTTATTGACGCATCCACCATTTATCGTTCCAGCCAGGGTCACCATGTGCAGCTGTATGGGTTGTGTATTGTGCAAATCATAGTCTATGTGACTGTCACTCCCCAGAGTTGTGCAGGGCATCTAATTGCCTCTTATATCAACCATGGGCCAGTACTTGTGCTAGGAACTAGAGATACAGCTATGAACAAAACAAATATTCCCTTGCTTTCAAGCTTCTTGCCTAATAGATAAGCACATGTACAAACAAAATATTTTTAAATAGTGATTCATACGGGGGAGGAAACAAGGGCCCAGGAGGATACAATGGGGAGTATTGAATTCATCAAGGAGGTCAGGAGACCCCCTTCCGTGGGAGGTGCTCAGGAACAAGCATTCCAGGAGGAGGGAACAGAAGATGCAAAGGCCTTGAGGTGGGAAAGAGTTTGAGTCTTTGCCAGAAGGGCCACTGTGGCTGGCTACAGGGAATGAGGGATAGCAGGTGGGAGATGAGGTGGGAGAGGTAGGGGAGGCCAGATTATGCAGGGAGACCTTCGTAGGTCCAGAGAGGGCTTTTGGAGTTTTTCCATTGTGAATGGAGAAGCATGTGGGGCAAATGGGGGCAATATCTGATATGACCGGCACTTTAGAAAACACTGCTAATTAAACCATGACATTCATTGATGATCAGACACATCTGGATCTCAATGATATTCAGATGTGAACATGTACATCTTGGCATCGAAGAAATATGGGAAGAATCCTCTGTCTGTGGGAGGAGGGGAAACCCCCCTGGATTCTAAGACCCTTGCCCCACCCCCCCCAGGAAGGAATTGTAAAGCCTCCACCTGGTTCCGGCCCTGGTCCTGGCCAAACTGTGACATCCAGGGATGCTGGAGGTTAGCCTTAATCCGCTTTGCTGCAGTGTAGACCTGCTGCTTTTACATGCAGCCCTGCATTGTAGCCCGGAAGCTGAGTCATGGCAAAGTCATGGCCTTGAAATGAGCACCTCGGAAGCACGTGGTGTGTTAAAGGGATGGTTGTTACTGAGTGTATAGCTTCATTTGGCGCTGGCGACACCCATCGCATTATTTACCATGCTACTCAGAATAGCTGTGACCACACCGAGAAACCCGTGCTGGCCCAGTGGTTCTGGTTTTTTTCTCTCCCCTACTATTCCCCAGTGCTGGTCATGCCATCTATGGTAACTCATATAACCTTCACCATCCCCCCCCCCCGCCCCAGGGGGTAGTAATAACCACAGCTAGGATTTAGTCATTCCACGTGCTGGGCTCTGTTTTGGATGTTATACCATCATGAACTCATTTACTCCTCCCTGCGATTATTCTATCATGCCCATTTTCTGGAGGAGCAAACTGAGTCACAGAGGAGTTAAGTTACTTGTCAAAGGTCACACAGGCCGCACGCAAGCCCCAGAGCTGGGATTTGAACTTGGGAAAATCTCGGCCAGGAGTCTCTGGGCCTCAGGTTGCCCCTCTGTAAAATGGGGCAGGGATCTGGCTGGGCGTGAATCCCCATGGGTCCTGACCTCTGTTTCTGGCAGCCTGTACAATAACAGCATCTGTGACGTGGGAGCTGAGAGCCTGGCACACGTGCTTCCAGACATGGTGTCCCTCAGGGTGTTGGAGTGAGTGTGGGCAGTGGGTGGCAGGGGTCTGGGGCTTGGGGGTACTGCGGGGTCTCCTGCTGCCAGGCTGGGAAGGGCTGCTTGTCGAGAGCGCGGGCCTTGGTCGGGGGCTGGATGGCCCGAGCGAGGGCCAGGCCTCAGGATGGGTTTCTCTCCCCAGCGTCCAGTATAACAAGTTCACCGCCGCTGGGGCCCAGCAGCTCGCTGCCAGCCTGAGAAAGTGCCCTCATGTGGAGACACTGGCGTAAGTCTCAGCCCCCCATAGGTGGAGGGCCACCGGCTCTCCAGGGGTGCAACTCCTGTGAGCCCTGAGCTCAAATCCCGCTCTCGCCCTCACCAGTGTGGGAACTTGGATGAGCAAAAGTTTGCCACCCTGCCCTCAGTTTCTCTGTAAAATGGGAGTGGTAATATTTACCCCCAAGCAGTTTTGTGAGGTTCAAGTTAATCTTAGAACAGTGGCTGGTACCTGAAAATGCTCAATGCTTTAGGGTCAACAATATGAAACCACTTACCTTCTATTATTTTGGACCTGGCAAATGTGGCCATTTCGTATGGTTCAAACTTAGGTGTTATCCTGTCACTATGGTGTCTGATGTCTGATATCAGTACTTTAAATTCTTCCAAGGCACTTTCACCTACATAATCCCTCATATCTTCTAGGGTAGAATCTATAAGACCCATTTTACAGATGAGGAGAATGAGGCACAGAGAGGCTAACTAACTTTTTGGAGGTCACACAGCACGTCAGCAGCAGAACCAGGTCTAAAGAAAGGGGTCTTGGGGCTCCTAGGCCTCTGCGATCCCTATAGCCCCACACTAGTCTGGTTCTGCCAGGTGGGAAGTCTCCAAGGGTCTAGGCTGGCTGGTAGGAGAGAAGTAGGGCCCCCTTCTCTTCTCTTACCTCGTCCCTGCATGCCGTACCCGTCGCAGGATGTGGACGCCCACCATCCCGTTTGGCGTTCATGAACACCTGCAGCAGCTAGACTCACGGATCAGCCTGAGATGAGCTCCATGATGCCTGGGACGAGGTAACCGAGGTGGGCTTGGACAGGGAGAACTTGGGGGGGGCTGCTGGGTGGGCACCTCGAGACCATGCACCACCTGGGGCCTCCACCTGTGATTGGTGGAGGTGTCTTTACAGGCTTTGGGGACTGGACCCTGAGCCTCCTGCCTGTGGCCAGGCGTGGAGAGGTGGGGGAAGGACAGGGGTGGGGGGGGCAGTTAGCCATCCACAGCCCTTAGTTTGGGGAAGAGCTTCCCTAGAGGTCCCCGCAGCCACCCCTGCCGCCTGCCCTGCATGGTCTTCATAGGAATTTGCTCTACATGTTTCTGTGCAAATGACTGTCCCCCAACTTCTGTGCCTCCCCAGCCTGTGATGTCCCCCTCCTCCAACTCCCCCTCCTCCCCAATCTGGAGAGCGCTGTCCATGTGTACAGCTGCACCCTCCTGAAGCTCTCTGACCCCGCCTTCTCCTGACCTCTCACAGCATGTTCTCTGAGGACGCTGACCACGCTGGACCTTGAAGTGGTTATCTGTGGACACAGTTGTTCTTGGGCCCACGAGCCAAGCAGCCTGGTGCCCAGCCCTGCCGGCTCAGGGTCGGCCCCCACCCAGCCACGGGAAGGACCTGCTCTGCGGACGGACCTGGGCCCGGCTCCAGGCCCCCTGCGGGGCCCAGGTCGATGGCACCCCCGGCAGATGGGGTGGGCGCCCGGTGGCTGCTGCACTCCACCCAGGAGCACTGAGGCAGGCCCTGCGGGATGCTCCTGACAGTGGTGACCAGGCCGGATTGAGGGAGCGGGGCGGCCCCATCTCTGCCTCCCCAGGTCCCTGCTGGCCTGGGGAGAAAGCACTTCTCCATGCTGCTCTCCTAATAGGGCGCGCGTGGCGCTCTGCAGACACCAGCAGCCTGCCCCGCCTGCTCCTTTCCCAAACTGTGACAGGCGGGGATTTGGTGGCAACTGCTTTGTGTCTGCAGGACTCACTGTTTTTGCACTAACCTGGTTGAGGCCAAAGCTCAGCCTGGCGCAGACACACTGGGCTTTAGCTGGAAAGAGCTGACAGGACACTAATGGAGGGGGGGGAAGGCCTCTCGGCCTTCATCTCTTGTGTCGTCTTTCACTACATTATAAAGGGCTCATTCAATCTCACGGGCGTGTCCACCGTTTGAGTTTATACCGTGATTACCGTTTTGGGGAGCCCACTGTTCGGTTATCGAACGCATCACAAACTCCCCCAGAGATGCAGTGGCTTAAAACGACTTTATTCTGCCCCCAGGCTGGTCATGTGGGCTGGGCTCAGTGGGTCTCTGCCCCACTCTGCGTCAGCTGGGGCGGCGTGAAGCCTCGGGGACTCCATGCTGGCTGGGGGCCTGGGGCCTTGGTTCCTGTAAGGAACCAACAGACGGGGAGCCTCTCCACGTGCGCTAGTTTGGGCTTCCTCATTGCATGGCAGCTGGGTTGAAGGGCGGTCACCCCAACTGGAAGAGGGAGACAGAGACATAGACCACAGAGAGAGGTAGCCATTTCATGACCCAGCCTTGCCAGTCACATAGCACCTCGTGCTCCATATTCTTTGTCCCGTGGGACAGGGGACGTGGCTCTCCTACCACCCCCCAGGCCCCCCGGCCCCCCGGCGGAATCCACCGTGGCCCAAGTCCTGTCTCTTTGGAGAGGATCTTCCTACAGCATCCCAAGCTTTAGCGGCAAATTCGTTGTTTGGGGCTCGGCAAGGTTGATGCCCCGTAAGCCTTGCAGAGGGGATATTTCCCTCTGCCTCTGTCTGACTTGGCATTCTAACCTGGGAGCTGTTTCTTAGTCGAGCTGGCATCTTGCCTTGGCCATGCCGAGCCTGGAAGGGACCTGGAAGCTTTGCTGTCTACACCGAGGGCTGCCAGCTCAGCTGGTGTTATTTTTACTGGAGCACGGCCTGCTTGGTCAGAAGTCCCAATTCGGGACAAACTGGCTTTCTCCCGGCGGCAGCTCTGTGGCACCAGCCCTGGTGCCCAGTTCCCAGACTCTCCTCCTCTTCCCAGAAAGTGGGAGTCAGGGGTTCAGGAGGGTCAGAGGGATTTGGACCCCGCTGCCGAGTTGGCAGTCCCTGCGGAGAGGGATGTTGTCTTCTGCCCCGGCCCCGCTGCGAAGGGCACCGGGCATTCTGACCTAGGCTTGGGTTTTAAATAGCATGGGCATCGCTCTGCAGGGACTCCTGTGTGTGCAGCCACAGGGATGAGCGCCCCTCAGCCGGCTGGGGAGGGCACCATCACACACACTGCTTTCAGTCTGTTCCGAAATGACAAACTGTAATAGTCAGAGGCCATGATTATTCGTAGTTCTGACTTCTTATACGATAGCTACCATTTACTAAATAAGGTGATACCTGTAAAGTGCTCATCACAGTGGAAGGAATATAGTAGGTGTTCAATAAATATTAGCAACCACGACTTTGTGTCGGTACCACATTAAGCCCTTCCTGCTCAAAGGGACCACAGCCTAGGGCCAGCAGCGGATCCCAGAGCTAGACCACGTGGGCTCAGTGCCCAGCTCACCACTTGTGCAAATTACTTCTCTGTGCCTCAGTCTCATCGTACGTAAAATGGGCATAATTACAGTACCTTCTTCATTATGCAGAGATTCAAGGAGTTAAGACACTGACAGCAAGGGCGCCTGGGTGGCTCAGATGGTTAAGCGTCTGCCTTCGGCTCAGGTCATGATCCCAGGGTCCTGGGATCGAGTCCCGCATCGGGCTCCCTGCTCCTTGGGAGCCTGCTTCTCCCTCTGCTTCTCTCTCTCTCTCTCTCTCTCCCCTCCTCTGTCTCTCATGAATAAATAAATAATAAATAAATAAATAATAATAAATAAATAAATAAATAAATAAATAAATAAAAAGACACTGACAGCAAGAGCCTGGCATACAGCTCAATACTTGCTAGCTGTCCTTGTTACATATGAATCTGTTTTGTTCCTGCCTCTGCCTGGAATGTTCTTATCAGGCCCTTCATATTGGACAACTTCTGATCCTGTAGGACTCAGTTTAAAGGACAGCTCCTCAGGAAGGTCTACCAGACCATCCTATTAAACAGACACGCCTACCCCCACTCTCCAAATTGGTCATTGGTTTATTGTTTTCATGCTTATTTGTTGTGGTTGTCTGCTCTTGTCCTAGGATGTGAGCTCCAAGAGGGCAGCTCATTTGTCTGCTTTGTTCATTGTTGTGCCCTCTGTACCTTGCAAGGTGACTGAACACAGTAAGTGCTCAATAAATGTTTGTGGAATGAATGATCCTCACCACAACTTTTCTTATGTGTTTTGTTCATTCCACAAATATGTAGAAGACACAGTGGGCTACTCAATAAAATGCTCAAGGTTCCTGCTCTGGGAAGTCTTGTATTTTAGTAAATTAAAAAAACTCCCTGGGCAGGGCTGTCTGGTGTGGTTGGGTGGTCCGTGCACTGCACAAAGGGCCCTGAACAAGGGGGCAAATGGGGGTTACAAACCAGTGTGGACTCTGCTTGCCAAGCTGTGAGTCCTGATGCGGAACGGTGTCAGCCCAGTGGGGCACCTCTGTAATTATCAACACAAAGTCATCTTATGAGGTACGTAAATTACTGTCATTTCACAGATGTGACTTGCCTAAGGCCACACCCCTGTAAAGGAGGGAGTCAAGAAGCCAACTCGCCTTTTGGTTTCCATGGAGGGGTGGGTCTCCATTGGTACAGGCACAGCGTGCTGGGATTGCTCTCTCAGAGCCATTTGCTGTGAGGGGAGGAGCGATGCCCTGAGGAATAAACTAAAAATAAACTAAATAAATCCTGTTTCCCCTCAGGCCTCTTCCCCATCAGAAACCTCTCCCTTCGCCCGCTCACCTCTTTTCCTGGGCCTCTCAGATGTGTTCTGTTTACAGCCCTTGATGCCCTTTCTTAGCACAGGAAGACAAGGGGTGCTGGGGCTGTTTTTTTCTCTGGAGTTCTGGGGGGGTTGACCCTCCCTCGCCTGTGTCCTCACCCACACAACAGAGCCAAACATCGTGCCTTGTGTAACTCGGTGTATGTGAGGGCGCTTTGAGAAGCATCGGGCACTGTGCAGAACGAGAATCATGGCTGTTTTCTGATGAAACTGCAAGTCAACCCAACTTCACCCGTTCACCTGCTCTTTCCCTTCCTGATTCCCTGCGCTGTGGGCACGCAGGGAATACCGCGCCTCCCATGTCTCCGGGATCAGGGCCACTGGGCCTTGGCCACCATGCCCCACAGCCTAGCCCTGGCCTCTCTGGCCTGATCCCCCCCCCGCCAGCCCAGCTTGGGGGGAACTCTCCCAGCCCTGCTGGGTCCCAAGCCGGGGAAGCCCTGATTCTTCCGCCTTTTGTGGAATGCGAGGTCCTGCCTAAGGGCTCCTTTCCCAGGTTTCCAGAAAAAAAAAGAGGCAGGGACCCCACAGGCTGGAGTTGCATACATGTTTTAATTGAAAGAAGTCAGCCTCCTAAGTATTGCTTTTACAGGTTTATCAACGTCAAGTATTCATACCACTCACATTTTCAAAAATACTTCTGGCCAGAGGAACAATGTGGCATTCCCCTGGCATGATGTATCAGTCCTGGCAACTTGATGAAGAACAAGCAACTTGAAATGAGTAAGTCACACCTGACCCTCGGCCCCTGACACGATCTGTGGCTTCTCTTCCTTCTGACTTACTCCCTGAAATAGTCACTGCATCTAAGACCAGCCTTGGGCCCAACCCAGCCGGGCTGGGGGCTCCAGCGGCATCAGATGGAGCTGGGAGTGGCTTCCGTGTGTGTCCGCAGTTGGAAGTATCCTCTCGGAAGATTAAGTGGGAGAAGCAGGTGCAGTCGGGAATGAAGAGCAGGGAGGCAGACTCTGGCTGGGTTCTTGTAAACATCCATCGCAACTGCGAAAGGTCAAAAGCCAAGGCAAGGCCGTGTGTGTGGCGCTGCAGGCGGGGGAGGTCTTCGGATGCCCCTGCCTTTCCCCTTGGGCAGGGGCAAAGGCCTTCTGGGCCTCCGCTCTCAGTCTCAATCTCTCTGCCCCACCCTCCTGGGTCCGGAGGGAAACCTCTCTGTTGGCATGGAGCTTCTGGGGGAAGCAGGCCTAGCGAGAAGGGAAGAGGGGTGTTACCAGCACGAAAGCATTGTCCCACTGTCGCCCATTTGGTGGTGGCCTCAGGAGGCTCAGGGCGGGGCAGGGAAGCCTTCCTCCAACCCTTGCATTCAGGAACCATCAGAAAATCCCAGACGCAGGCTGGGCGTGTTGTCCTACAACTTTTATGAACTCTTTTTTAACGAATTTGCCTGATTTCTAAGGGCCCTGGTCTGGACAGCCAGTGCAATTTTCACTTGGGAGAGGAAGGATGGTCCATTCCTGGGAGGGAGGAGGGGGATCCTGGTACCTGAGGAAGGAGGGCAGCGTGCTCAGGGGTCACCCAGGGCCTGCTGGCCGACCTGAGCCCCAGGGCCGCTGAGCAAGCTCGGGTAGTGGGCAGGGCTTGGCAGCACCACCCACCTTGCCCGGAAAATGCTTCACAGGCTACCGGAAGGCTGTGGCCACAGCCAAGCTACTCAGCAGCCCTGCTGCGCTGGTCCTCCTGGGACATGGCATCATCCACGGTGCCTGGCCCCTCGGCTGGTCCCCATTTCCCATACCCTTCACTTTCCGTGTCTAGCTGGGTGAAAATGAAAAATGCACCCTCACCCCATTTCCAAGGGGCGCCCAGGGGGCAGAACTGCTTCTACTGAGAACCATGCATCTCCCCAAGGTTCAGAGAAGCCAAGTGACCTGAGTCACACAACTGTGACAGGCAGAGCTGCCACTGGACTGGTGGCAATGGTAGAAACCATCACAATCAGGCAGCTGCCACCCCCTGAGCTTTTACTATGTGCCACAAGCCCCAGGCAAAGGCTGCGGGTGCCTTGCTCTGTTCCTTCCGCTCACCCCTCCAGGGCACGCCGACCTGGCAGCTTCCACCTGTAGGGTGGAAAGCCTCCAAAGCCTGCCTGGCCCCCAGGCTGCAAGTGTAGGCAGAGCCCATGTCTCCCCAGAGCTGCCTTCCAACCAGTGATGACCAGGAAGGCGGGGGGCCAATACCCCAGCTCCTGCACCCCGCAGCTGAGTCTCCACCTACCCTGGCCCCCAGAGTTCCTGAGCAGTACTGAGCTCAGGGCTGCAGTGGTGACCTACTGGATGACAGAACCCTTTCCTGTCTCACCAACCCATTCCCGAATGGTAGTTCTGGGATCACCTCCCGAATACACGACTTGCACTTGAACCTTGGTCCCAGGGTCTGCTCCCGGGAGAGCAGACCTGAGACAGAGCAGTACCTATATCATGTCATTCAGCCCTCCTAAAACTCCGGGAACGACACATTATTATGAGTCCAGTTTACAGACAAAGACACTAAGGTTCAGACACGGTAAGTAACTTGTCCAGGATGCTCAGTTCTCCAGGCTTTCGTTCCCCTGGAGATTTTCAACACTGCCTAATTTCATACCTCCTGCATGCCAGGTCCTGAGCTGGGTGCTGGAGACCCCGCGATAAATGCGGCCATGCTTCTGAGACACAATCTGGTGAGCAATCGCAGCCCAAGGTAACACACCCTACAGGAGGGAGCACAGGGGACCAATGGAGCCCAGAGCCCGGGCAAGGCTGTGCACGAAGAGCACGCCAGGTAGGGGGCAGGCTTGTGACAAAGGCACAGCAGGCCCTAGAGCCCCCTAGAGTTTGGTATGGGGTAGGAAGCAAGAAGGCAAACCATGGTAGACACACAGCTGGAGAGGGGAGGAGGGGCCAGGTCAGCCACGTTTCTTGTGCTATCTGCCAGATTCACCTTCTAGAGGCCAGCTGGGGACACAACCCTTCACTGCTGAGACCCTCCCTGGCTCCCACTGATGACACGGGCCAAGTTCTTGTGTCCTGGGGCCCCAACCCACTCCCCACTGGACCTGGCATGAGGCGGAAGCCAGGGCTGAGACCAGAGCACTGGTAAGCTCAGCCCTCTGGAAAGGCATGTACGCCCCCCCCCGCCCCTCCCACCAGGAATCCCCCTTCTGCTAACCTCCCTCCAAGGAACCCCTAGGGTTCCCTGTGGGGTCAGTGCTGGTGCTGCTGAGAGCAGAGCTCACTCTAGAGATCTCCAAAGCAGGGGTTCATACTTAAGCCCACTTCAGACTTGTGTGGACTGGGTGTCAGAGCACAGAAATCACCCCCAGCACGGGGACCCACTCCCCTTCCAATCTTGGTGTCCGCCACCAGCACGGAGTCCAGATGAGCGTCAGTCTGGCTGGAACGTGTCTCCGACATGTGCCAATCTCCCCTCTGACCAGGCCCAGGGCCCCACAGGCGCCGGCTCTAGCTGGGTCCACTACTGTTCTGTTTTCACCGGGCTATCTGCAGGGTCACCTTCTATTTATGGCAAGTGATGCCAGGTTTCCACTTCTGATAGTAATATAAAGTTCCTGTCCTTTCAGAGCATCGCTTCACTTGAAAAAGAGCTCGTTTAAAGAAAACAAGGACACAAATGAGAATTCAGACAATAGAGAAGAAATTGCTGCCGGTGTCATAGGGGGTTTCGGAAACCCCGATCAGGGCTGGTCCCACTCCTTCCACGAAGAGCCCAGACAGGCCGGGGACCTGCCCTAAGTCACAGAACAAGGTGAGGACAGCCCTGGTCTCTGTGTCCTTGGCTGGAAGATGTCCTGAGACCACTCATCTGTGCCACCCACTGTGGCTGTTAATCAATCCCCTTGCTCCTTAACTTGCAAGTCTGGCCTCACAGCAAACCCCCCAATGAGAATCCTGAGAATCTCAATAACAGGCGGTATTTCTTAAGCACTCTACACTTACCTTGTACTATCTGCTTTAACTCCTGTCCTAGCTCATGTATTCTTCAGAACAACCCTGGGCGGGGGTGGGGTGGGGTGGGGCACGCAGGCTCATCATCGGGAATTTCGGATGGGGCTCAGAGAGGCTTCAGTAAATTGTTCAAGGCCACAGAGCTTGCAAAGGGCAGAGGCGGGATTTGAACCTCCGTGGTCTGACCTTAGGTTCATCTCTTTCCTCCCAGGCATCCTGGAGATGCTGCAGCTTGCAGAATCCAAAGCAGTGGGCTCTCCGGCCTTCTAACATCATTACAGCACGACAATTCATTAGCCGTTGGCTTTTTTTTTTTTTTTCCCCTTCTTTCTTTCCGAAACTGTAACCTTTCATTCCAGGCTACTCCCGAGAGCTGGAGAGAGGGAGTGGCCGGCTGACTCATTTCTGTCATTAAAGAATGACAGCTGGGCACTGGATCCATTTTAAGAAGCAGCGTCTCGGCTCACTACCTCCGGGGACAGTGCCTAGTTTGGGATTGGCCGTTGTGTCTGAGGGGTGCTGGCAGGCGATGCTCTGGGACATGCCTTCTCACGGTCCTCCTGGGGGGCAGTAAGGGCAAGGCCTATCTCTGGGAATTCTAGCTCTGTCCCTTCCTCGCTGTGTGACCTCAGGCAAGTTCTCTCTCTGGGCCTATTTTCTTCATCTGAAACAAGAGAACGGTGCCCACCTCGTTGGGCTGTTTGTTGTTGTGAGGATTACATGAAGTCACATCAGTGGAGTGTCTACAATACATGAGGCATCTGCACGCAGTGGCCCCTCCCCTCCTTCCGACCTGTTCCCAGCTAGCAAACACACCAGGCAGGGGGCCTCTTCAGTGCTGGGGGGCCTTCTGAAAACAGTAGCCTTGTCACCCTCCAAAGACCCTGCGTGCTGGTTGCTCGTTCCTCTTTCCCATGCACCAACCGACCAATTCATGTGGCTAAAGACAGAGGTCACCCAGGGCCAAATGGGTGTCCACCGTGGTCTCAGTGACGGGCTGCTGTGTGCAGAAGGACCTCTGCCTCAGCTAGTCCAAGAATTCACGGCCGGAGGCGGATGGGAAAGGAGACGCTGCCCGGCTGCCTGGGTCCCTGATGGAAGTCAGTGTTCTGGGGGAACAAGGATTGGTTTCTCAAACCCAGATTTGGCTTTACATGTCAGCTGCTGACCCTCACCAGCTATGGGTTTTGTGAAGAATCTTGGTTCAGAACGTGTCTCCAGCTGGTCGGTGCCTCCAACTTAGTGAGGCCCTTCTGAAGGGACAGCGTTGGTCCAGGAGTCTTGCCACATCTAAGAACTGCCCAGACGATTATTTATTTATTATTTTCAATCAAGGCATTTTTTTTAACTCCAAATTTTTAAAAGGAACCTTTATGTCACTATCATGAATAAGAAACAGAATCATTTTGGGATGCCTGGGTGGCTCAGTCAGTTAAGCGTCTACCTTCGGCTCAGGTCAGGATCTCAGGGTCCTGGGATCAAGTCCCACATTGGGCTCTCTGCTCAGGGGGGAGTCTGCTTCTCCCTCTCCCTCTGCCCCTCCCCTCCGCTCATGCTCTCTCTCTCAAATAATAAAATCTTAAAAAAAAAATACAGTCATGTCATAAACAGAAGGCAACACTAAAAACAAATAGGAAAATGAAACCATTAGCTCTAGCCAGATACCCCTGGCCCACAAAACTGGGCCCGGGTCTGGTTTCTCTGGTCAAAGGGAGAAGTAGCAGGTGCTACAAAGGGAGAAGAGTGCCAGGGCTTCGAGAGCCTGGCCACACTCTGCTTCGGCGGCCTCACCTGTGCTGGAGGACCTCACTCGAGGAAGCACTGGGAACGTGGCTAGGAGGCCACCTCATAGCTGGGTATCTGGGATGAGTCACTAAATGTCCACAAGCCTCAGTTTCCCTCCCTGTATAAGGGAGCTAATGAGCCCTGCCCTGCCTGCTTCGTGGATAATGTGGATGATGCTCTGGGGAAGCTAGGAGATGTGGGAGAGGAAGTTATTTTTAACCACCCAGCCAATTCCCCTGCCAGGAAGGAATCCCAGGAATGAGGCCTTCCCCGTCCAGGGGTGCCTGGAACTAGAGCTTGCTCCCAGCCCCTCCCCAGGCTCGGAGCAGGGAATGGCAGCTGTGATGGTACCAGCATCCCCTGGACTCACCAGGTACCAGTTATCATCGCCCTGGGCTGCTTCAAAAAGCAGAGTTGAGGTCCCAGATCCCATCCCAGATCACCCTTTGCCTTAAAGGCACAGCCACATCCTCCCTGGTAATGGGCCCCCAAGAGGAGGAGGCGAGCACCCAAGGAAAGGGGAGGCTTCTTGGGCTGAGTCTCCTCTGCGTCTGACACACCACCAACACAGCACCATTATTGAGGGCTACACGCCATTCTTTTAAAAATAAGTTCACATTAAAAAAATATTTTTGAAAAATGAAGTACTACAACTAGTGGATTTAATCATAACTACAAGTGATGAAGGGAGAAAGAGTAACTTCACAGCGGGGAGACCCGGCAGACACCACTTTAGCCAAGCCATCAAAGTTAACATCACCAGCGGTGGGACAGACAGACGTCATGTGTCTCCCAGATACCCTGCACTCACTTCTCTGTGGGGCCCCTGCCAACAATGCATCATCTGAGCCTAATCTCAAGAGTAAACAACAGATAGACCCAAATGGAGAGAGTCTACAGGACACCCGACTTGTACTCCTCCAAAATGTCAATGTCATGAAAAATAAAGACAGAGTGAGGAGGTCAGGACTGAAGGCAGCTTGAGAGACACAACGTTTAAGGAAAAGGGTTATCTGCGCGATGGGATCTGGGACCTCAACTCCGCCTTTTGATTGGGAAAGGTCACTACTGGGACAATCTCACAGATCTGAAGAAAGTCACAGATTAGATTGGTCATAGGCTTGCATCGGGGTTAAATGTGCTGATCTTGACAGTTGCACTGAGGTTATGGAAATGAATGTCCTTGACCTAAGAAACTATACAGTGAAATATTTAGGAGTAAAGGAACGCAATGTCTGCAATCGCTTTCAAATGGTTCAGAAAAATAGCTATACATATGTATACGTGTACATACACACGCACGTATATAGTGCGGGCACACGCTGCCTATGTGAGCAAATGTGGCAAAATGTAAATACAATCGGTGACTCTGGGTGAAGGGTACGGGGGCCTTCTCTGCACTCTTGCAACTTTTATATACTCGAAGTTATTTCAAAATAAAGTTTTATTTAAGAAACTCAGCAAAAAGGAGGAAGATCTACACAGGAAGCCTGGCAGAACCACGACCACTATTCCGAGGTGGGACTTGGGAGCCCCCTCCTGGAGCCCCCCTGCAGCCCCTGTGAACGGGGCTCAGCTGTTTCACTCAGCTTTGCTCCGCGGCCCCTCACTTCTCCTTTCTGGGCTTCAGCTTCTTTATTTGTGAGATGCGGATAACAGTCCCTTTAACTGTGATCTTGATTTCCCACACGCAGGCTAAGCTTTCAGAAGTTCTGGGGGAAAGACAGCAGGTAAATCAGGACTATGAATGGTCAAGTTGAGAGGAGCCCTTAATTTTTTTTTTTTTTTTAAGATTTTATTTATTTGAGAGAGAGAGAATGAGAGACAGAGAGCATGAAAGGGAGGAGAGTCAGAGGGAGAAGCAGACTCCCTGCTGAGCAGGGAGCCCGATGTGGGACTCGATCCTGGGACTCCAGGATCATGACCTGAGCCGAAGGCAGTCGCTTAACCAACTGAGCCACCCAGGCGCCCGAGAGGAGCCCTTAATTTTTTTGACACGAGGACTGTGAGGGTCTTCCTTGGACGAAACCTCCAGTTTGTGTAACTTGGAGCCAAGGGAGCCGAACCCCTGGCATCTCAGCTGTCTTGAGACCCCTAACGGGGCCTTCTCCTGTCCACAGGGGCAGCGAGCACCCATGCACCCTGTGGCCAGCATGCTTCCAGGTGAGCCTTGTGCTAGGACAGAGCTGGAAAGTCAGCCAGGCCTGGGGTGCACACGCCTCTCCTTGCCACCATCACCTGTCTCTTGTCTGGACCACAGCTACGGGAGACCGCCTGATTCCCCTCATTTGCCCTGACCGCTCTCCTTCCCCTCACTCCTGGCAGGAGCTCCACCAGGGGCCTGTGGGATTGCCCATGACTTCAATCTATGGTCCACGTCCCTGCAGAAGGTCTGGGTTTCTGAGCAGGGCAGTGACGTGCCAGCCGGGATGTCCTACTGCTGTCTCAGGCTGCAGACTGGAATGGAGGGACCGGGGCAGGTGGATCAGGAGCAGCTGTGGCACCGAGTCAGAACCCAGAAGCCGGGAGACCCTGTAGTAAGTAGACTGATGAGTCCGGTTACCCTAGCTCTGTGTCTGAGCTACACCAGGCCCCACCGACTCTGGCAGCAACGTTCTGCAGGCTCTCCATTTCCGGTGCAGGAAGGCTCTCTCCCACAGCCCTCCCTCTGTGCCAGGAACACAGGGACAGATCAATCCAGCTGCTCTGCCTCCGCATCGGAAGTGCTGGGACATGAAGACTCTCCCTGGCTCCCAGGCCAGCCGCAGTGGCCCTTTCTCCTGGGAACGAGGGAGCGCCTGACTCCCCACTCCCTGCCCCAAGGCAATGATTAAAACTCTAGGAAAACTGCAGGCCACAGCTTGCTCCACAGCCCTCCAGATCTCATGGACTTTGGAGACCACAGGCGGTGGGAAAGCTGTCCTGAGGGTCCCAAGCCAGGAGGGCAGAGTGGGAAGTCTGTCCCAGCGGTCCACACTTGAACCCATCCAGCACTCAGGCAGGCAGTCCTCTGTGGCTCATCATGGGATTTAAGTATTGATGCATGATTGCACGTGCAGGTTTATACATTTGCAAGAGCCTGAGTGTACACCCTTTCCATTATATCTGTTAATGCTAGCAGTGGTTAATAACATATGACTTAACTGTACACAGGAAGGTCTGCGAGCTTTATGTGTATCTCACTTGATCCTCACAACGAGGAACATCTCATTACCCCCACTTTTTAGAAGAGAAAACAGACACACAGGGAGATACGGAACATGCCCCCAAGGTCACAGCTAGGATTGGGATTTGAACCAGGTTCTTGCTCCTCATCCCAACTCTAATACTCCCTCCTTCGATAAGTGCTCAACAAATGTTGGGTGGACCGCACTGTGTGGGCACATACCCAAGAGAAAAAAGAGAAAGAGAGCAAGTGAGTGCACCTTGCGATCTACCCCAGTCCCCACTGCCTAGCGCGCCCCACACCCTTAGTCAGTGCTTCCATGACCTTCTCCTGGGTAACATGAGAATACGTTCACATGAGAACAAGCCAGAAAGAATGAGATCTGACTACCGATGTTCTTCTGCTTACAGAAAGGGGCCCAGAGTTTGGGCCCATTTTTAGAGATTTCCCAAAGGCTTTTCCCGCTGCTGGCTACCCTTCCCCTCCCCCAGCCTGGGCT